ACATTGCCACCAACATTACAATCTATCACCAAATAATTTCTCATATTTTTCCGTTTTGGTTTCCATAATTATTGGGTTACACGGAAGGGAATGAGAGTAACAAAAATCGTATGTGCGTGTGTGTGGTTGTATATGTTTGTATGTAGGTGTATGATTATGTGTGTGGCAGTATAGTTGAGTTTTGACGATGACCGTGGTGGAGAGAAGAGATGGAGCAGATTTGACGGACTGCAACAGAGTTCAATGGATCAGGTGGAATGTGGTTAGTTAAAGGGGATGAAGGCGAGAGTGAAGAACATAGGACATTTTAGCAAATTGTAAAATATCGATTGTCCTGATTTGAAAAAATATTAATGCGCAGAGGTGTTTAGCAAATTGCACCGTATTATAAATCCATTTTCACATTAGACCTTTTGGAAATCCATTCCCCAAAATTAATCATTTATAATAAATAAAACCAAGATTTGAAATACATAACATCTAAATTTAGGGGCTATAGGTTTTGGTGACAACATTAATTACAACTAAATGACACGTTCATCTAAAGTTTTTATGCAAGTTCTTTATAAAATTCATTCCATAACTACCCTTCCTGCACAAAATTCGAATTTTGACTTAGTAATTTCTTATCTGGATTTAGAATTTTATATTTTAAATACCGTAAAAATAATATTGAAAGGCATATATATTCTTAAGATGTTGTTTATCCACCTAACATGAATTGTTTCCAAAACAAAATACAAAATACAATTTATAAACATAAATTACATCACAACGAATACGACTTAAAACATTAAAAACATGTTTGGCATATCCGAAATTATAACTATTTTTAACTAAATTTAATTTATTTGCATACTAAGAATTTATTATCTTCTCTTTTTATATATAAAAGAATAATAACAATCGAATACGATTCCGTTTATTTTATAATATTATGGTATTGTTCCGCTACCAAAATATTTCAGTACGATATGGCGTATCATTACCATTAGATAGAAAATTGGGTAGAGAATTGGCTAGGTAAGGTATAAAACAATTGGTTGATAGGTATTCGGTAGAAAACATTCACACCCTTAATTAACTTGTGTGCTAACTACAGGGAGACTGAAGAAGAGGCTCTAAATCAATAGAGGTTGACTTGCCACCACCAGTCATCAGTGCAGAAATTTTCCGAAAAGGTTAATTCCAATCGATTAATCCGACTTTCACCCCTAGATATGATATATCACTACCAAATTTGCATTTCAAATAACAAATAAGAACAAAACTCAAGAGTAACAAAATTGTTATGAATAAACTGTCAAGTCAAAACAGACTCCAAAAACTCAAACTGAAAAGCCAAAAAAAAGACGAGATCGCTAAAACTAAAGATAATAATTGGATACAGAGAGTATTCCTCAAAGACAAGTCAAAAGAAGGTATAAATAAAGCACGGCGAGTGCAACCCAATGGCATACATGTAAATATACACTCAAATGAAGCCCTATTTGCCACCAAGCGAAGGAAACTGTCCAACATCTCCAATTGCCGGGGCCCGCTCACCTGCGTTGCTTCGTCCGAGCCCTCCTTCTCTACCACGGCCACCACGGGTCCACGACCCCTACCACCGCGTCCACCTGCTCTGTAGTAGTTCTCTCCTTCCGCTGCGGCTTCAAAAACTCATTTATGCTTACAAACTGTCACAAAACAAAAGTTTTAGCAACATTTTTTATCATAGAAAACATTCATAAATGTTAAAAAATATATATATATGTATATATAAAACAAGCTAATTTTTCAGTGCCAACCATAAAGAACAAAATAGAAGATAAAGATGTGTAACGGCACTATACAATTAAAAAGTTATACACATCAATCACTAATGACGAGTTATTTATTCTCAACTATTGTACATATCACGCCCCCGCTAACTACAATCATCAACATACTTCTTCATCACTTATATAAAAAAAAAACTTCTTCATCAACACCGAGACACACACCACAAAGTTTTCTGAGTAAATTTGCTGAAAACCAAAGCAGCTATTTTGCAGTGAAAACCACGAATAAATTGACATTATTAAATATACTACAAAAACCAAAAAAATTAAACACTAACAACGAAGATCGATCTTTGTTGAAAAATAATTTACTAAATAACATTTACGAAAATAGAATTGTAGATAATAAAAACACCATTTTTTTTTGAAAACATGAAAATCACTTTGTATAAACAGCTATATAAACATGAAACCGCTCTGTATAAACAGATATATAAACATGAAAATTACTCTGTATAAACATGAAAACCACTATGTATAATTACAAAGTCGTTTTCTTGCTCGGGTAACAACAACATAACGTTCAAGCAAAAACAAACATGTTCATACATCTACAATTTATTTATCAAATTAATCCATGTACGATAATATGAAACTTACACAAATTACGAAATCTACGAATACCACTCTGTATAATTTGTAAAGCCGCTTTCCTGCTCATACAATCGTGGAAGAGATTCTGAGAATTATAATTCCCACTACGATAAAAAGGATAATCTACAATCAAGGAGCGGGAATTGTGGGTTTATTTAAACATGGTGTATATATATATATATATATATATATATATATATATATATATATATATATATATATGGAAGAGATATTGTGTATCTTTTATTTTCAATCCTAAATATACTTACTTAAGGGTATAATAGTGATACTTAATTATTTTTTATTAATAAAAGTTGTTTTGGATTTATTTTTAAAATGTGAAATAAATTTCGGTTCATTGTAACAGCATTTGTGTAGTGGGGGTTTTCAAAATTTCCCAAGAAAATGACAAGTGGCAATTAAATATATAATCATTTTATTTATATTTAATAAACAATTTTTCTTTTAACAAACAAAACACTTCATCATATTTGCAAGAGCATCAGCAACACCATTTTTTATTACCCATGATTTGAGCAAATTAATTTATATAGGTATCAAAATAAATATTAAATATCAAAATTAATGTTTGATATCTCATTTTGATATTTTGGATTGGAGTTGCTCTATCCCACCTTGAAATATAGTTTATTTTTGGTATTTTATACCCTCAAAAAATATTACTAGCACTTTGCAGCCTTAAAACAAAATAAATCACCCACAATGTATCCAAATGGAATTTTAAATCTAATGAAGACAATTTAATATTTTTACTTATATTATTTAGGATGCCAAATGTCAAATCAAAATTTTGATATTCATCAATCCTTTCGAAATTACAAAGTTCAAAATAAATATACATTTGCATTTATGCCTCAGTGACATGTGCCTGGACATTTTTTCACTTGCTTCCTTTTGAATCTTGGTACAGATTTACTAGGTGCTGGGCAGTTCTGCAAACTTTGGCCCAGTGTCCAGTCATTCCACATCTAATGCACATATTTTCTGGAATTCCTTTTGCATGCATCTTGCCTTTAGCGCGATGTGCCTGAAATGGTTGTCTCTGTCTAACCGTATTAGTATTTCGACGGGGATGGTCATATCCACCTCGGTCATTATTTCGGGCATCTTGAGGGGACCACGTCCACCATCTCTGCGGGCACCCCACCCGAATCTACACCCACGACCTCTAAATGGGCCCATATTTCTATGTTGATTAGCATGTGTTTCAGGCACAGCTTGGGACCCACACGGTCGCAAATCATGAATTTTCAACAGCAGTTCATTTATTTTTTCAGCCGTGAGGAGTACATAGATCAACTCCGAATATGTTTTAAACTGACGTTGCATATATTGTTGTTGGAGCACCAAGTTCGACACATGCATTGTAGAGAGATTTTTTTTTTTCTAATTTATCATATTCAGGAAAGATAAGGCAAGTGCTATGATTTTTATCCGCCATCATCTTTTTGTGGATTTGAAAGACGAGTATATACTATTGGAAATGCCATCAGAAATATGGCTAAAACTCAAGGTGAGATTTGATCACACAAAGACTGTGATCCTCCCACAAGCTCAATATAATTGACTATGCACAAGGTTAATCGGGACTCAAGTTTAAACAGTGCCGAATGATAGTCGGCAACAGATTTGAAGTCATGCAGCCTTAGGTACTACCAATTATATTGAGCATGTGGGAGGTGATCAAACCTCTCCTTGAGTTTTTGTCATATTTCTAATGGTCTTTTCAATTGTATATACTCGTCTTTCAAATCATCGGAAATAAGATGGTGAATAAAAATCATAGCATTTACCTCATCTTTCATGTTTCCCTCCCTGATATCTACACAATCCAAGGTTTTAACCAGATCTAATTATTGGAGGTGTAATTTGATATCTAAGCACTAAGATAGAAAGTTATTGCCAGTAACATCAAAGATTTGAAATCTCTGTTTTTTGGCTCCGGCCATCGTAAAATAAAACAAGTAGAAAATAGTACAACAAAAAGAAACTTAATTTTACAAATCCATAATTTTGTAGAGCAAAAGCCCGTGCTGATAATGTGTTATAAACAAAAAACATATACGTAAATACTAGAATATAGATGTAATAGAGTACGTACATTCGAATAAACAAAGAGTGAGTGTAGTGAAAATATGAAATTTGTGGAGCCAGAGTTTGCAGAAATTGTGTTTCTTCATTGCATAAATCATCTATTTATATACGTAATTAGAGGCTATGAATCATCCACATATACAATATGTGTATTGATTTGATTTGCTAAATATACTACGTACATATCTCCAAGTTCCATATATGCACACCATGCCATCACATGTGGAGACAATACATCACATGCCAAGAAGCCATCTCATTGGCTGTTGGAATCCATGGTATAGTCCTCATTGTCATAACACAATCATCATTGTACGTAAAAAAACATTTATATATATATATATATATATATATATATATATATATATATATATATATATATATATATATTAATTAGGTAATTCTAGCTAATTGTACAAATTTATAATATAATTACACAAAACAGTCAAACTATATCCCTGGTATTCAAAAATATAAAACTAGCTAATTTTTGCATTTCAAATATCAAATCAGAACAAAACCAGAGGAATCAAAATTGTTATGAATAAACTGCCAATTCAAACAGACTCCAAAAACTCAAACTGAAAAGGCCAAAAAAAAAAGAGACGAGACCGCTAAAAACTAAAGACGATAGTAATTGGATACAGAGAGTATTCCTCAAAAACAAGTCAAAAGAAGGTATAAATAAAGCACAGCGAGTGCAACCCAATGGCATACATGTAAATATACACTCAAATGAAGCCCTATTTGCCACCAAGCGAAGGAAACTGTCCAACATCTCCAATTGCCGGGGCCCGCTCACCTGCGTTGCTTCGTCCGAATCCTCCTTCTCTACCACGTCCACCACGACCCCTGCCACCACGTCCACCTCCTCTGTAGTAGTTCTCTCCTTCCGCAGGCTTCAAAAACTCGTTTATGCTTACAGACTGTCACAAAACAAACGTTTTAACAACATTTTTTTATCATCAGAAAACCTTCATAAATGTTGAAATATGTACATATAACTAGCTAATTTTCCAGTGTCAGCAAAAAAAAAAAAATAGAATATAAAGATGTGCAACAATACCATCCAATTACAAAAATTATACGTATTGATTCACTAATTACGAGTTACTTTTTATATTTATAATATGCTCAACCATTACACATCTTCATTACTATTACAGGTCAAAATAACTACATCTACAAGAAACTAGAAACAACTACAGATCTATTTCTAAAAGAAACTAGAATTGCAGAATACTCGTGTAAGCCTAATGAAAATTATTGAAGTTTGCTTTTAGAAACTTGTCTATATGCATGCATGTTCAAAATTCTATGTTTCAAGATTTTTGATATGCTTAGTTTGTGTAATGTCAGTTAGTAATGTCGTTTACTGAAATGGAATTCATGATATCAATGTTCAATGGTCTTAGTCTCTATTACTTGAAAGAGATAGTTCCAGAAATTTAGAAATACAAGAAACACATGCACATATATTAAAAAAAAACAGTTAAAAAGAATAGTTCTACTCAGTTGTTTTTTATTCAAAGAAACAACATGATTCATGATCACTCTGCTGCAGAGAGAGAGAGAGAACTGCATATTCAGTCAATTACTGAAACCTACTATGGGTCGATTTCAAAGTTCTGCACATTTTCAACCTAACTATCTCAACAGCTTGGCTTTAACTTGAACCATGGTTAACAAAACAATTACAAAATCACTCGAAAATACCTAACTTGGAATATTTCAAAAGAATCTCAGTTGTTAAATTATCGTTAAGAAAAAAATCCATCAATCTTAAATAGGGAGTCGGTAACCTCAGGCTATTCAATCTTCCAAATCATTCAATCAAATTTCTAAAAGTCGATTAGGCAGATAAATATATGCATGCAGTGGGACAAAACATACCTTTTTGGCCTTTTCAGCTGCTTCCTTGCGCTTATCCTTGTCAGAACCCTGTGCAATTTACGAATTCAGCACACTCGTCGCATTAATCCTAGCCACACCGGGCTGATATTAAAAATGACACTAAACAAAGATTAAAACTCACCAATTTAATGAAGACCTCGTCATCATTCTTCTTGGTAGACAGAAGTTGCATAGCTTCAAGTTCTTTGTCGAGATTGACTTTCCTCTCCTCAGATTTCAGTGAAAGCAGTGCCTTTCTCTTCTCCTCACGTACTTTCTCGTACTCCTCCAAAGTCATCTCCTATCGTGATACAGATGTAGTGTTGGTGTCAATGTTTGAAATACAATATCAAGTTGTGTCTTTTAATGAATAATTAAATCTGTAGAAAAATCGACATTGTTAGGCTAAAACGACTATCGAGTACCTTCTCCTCTTCTGGCTCTTTTTCTTCCTGTTCCTTAGGAGAGTCCTTGTTTGCATCAACAGCATCTTCTTCTCCTGACGGCTTCTCGGGATCGACAATCTTCACTTCACTTGCGGGTTCCTCAGTTTCCCTATATCCAGAAATCAGGTAAATAAAAATGCACTCAGTGAAAGTAAAAATCACAAAAATCTCATGCGATAATATGCACATAAAGATTCAGTAATTACGGGGCTATATCTTCAGTGTGTGTTCCCCAATTTCCGCGGCCAGCACCCTCACGCTTGAATTCATTGCTGCAATTACATCAGTTATAAATAATTAAGATTTCCGTCCTTAAAACATTAGCTAGGTTCAGTTAAAATCTCATTTAAAATTTTAAAAAGCAAATACAAAAGTTATCTTACCCGCGCCCTGTTCCACTGTGACGGTCATACGTCCTACGAGGACGCTCACCCTCTTCAGAGTCGCCATTGCTGAAACCACCACGACGAGCACCGCGGAAGGGGGCACCACCGCCGCCACCACCACCACGGGGTCCGGCATACGTACGCCTCTCAGAAGGAGCCTTTCCAGCATCACCATCTTCCGAAGGCCTGCTGTACCCACCGGAAAACCCATTACTGTTTCCAAACGAGTTTTCATTCTCAACAAAGTCTCTGTTGAAGCCACGGCCACCACGCCCACCACGGGCACCACCACCACGGCCTCCACGTTGACCTTCATTCCTCGATTCCCTCACTGCTCAAAACAAACATGTAACAAATCCAATCATCAAGCATTGTGCACGGAAACTAATTTTGCCTAGAGATACAAAAGCCTACAAGAAAATTGTATACGAAATAGAGACACACCAAGCTAAACCGGAATTAATTCAATCACTTACATCCCACCAAGAACAAACATCAAGTCGTGAGAGTTAAAAAAATATTTCATAAAAAAAAACCCGAAGTACTAAAGGACAAAACAATACAGAATTACATTTCACAGACTGGGATCTAAAAATCAAAAAGAGCACAAAAATAAAATATTTAAGGAAGTGACAAAAGTCAAGGAACAATTAAAGCTAAGGGATAAGGCTCTACATTTGGTAGAGTCCATGAACTTACATTATCTCCAACATAAGTCAAATTAAAGAATTTAAGAGTCAGTAAAACAAATCACAACCCTTGAGTTAAATAAGCTATACTACACTACCACCACGCAGTGAAACATATATAAATAAATCCACATTCATTTAATCCTTCCCTCCAATTAATCAAGCAATGAAAAACACAAAATTATTGGAATTAAAAAAAAAAGGGGGGGGATTGGATTTCAATATCTCACCAGCCTGAGCGGGAGGGAGAGGCTTGGCAGGCAGTTTAGCCGAGGGTTTAGCCGCGGGCTGAGCCTGAGCCGAAGCTTTCTTAGAGAGCGCAGGAGCCGGAACTGCAGCCGCAGCTTTCTGCTGAGCGGCGAGGAGCAGCGCTGGATCCTCTGCATCGTCATCGCCGAGAAGCCCAAATGGATTTAAACTCGCCATTTCAGACAGAACAAGTAGACAAGAAACACAGAAAAAACAAAAATGAAACTGCAACTAAAGCTTGGAGCTTTAGCAGAGAAAATGGAGGAAGAAGAGAAAATCTAGTTACTGGAATCCATGAAAACGTAAGAAAGCGAGAGAAATGGAAAACCCTAGCGGAATGCGGCAGAGAGAAAATGAGAAGGGGAGTAAAAAAAACCCTAGTGGTGGGGTGGGTACTGATCGGTGTGTTGTGGGGTTTCATTTACAATATATTCGTTCACATTTGGGCTTTTCCCAAGCCCAAGGTCCATTTGGCAACCATATTATTTACAATTTACATATATCATCATAAATAAAATTTAGGACGAATTACGGCCACCCCTTGCGTTATGCTCAAATTACGAAAACTCCCCTCATGTTTGGGTGGTTACAGCCACTCCTGAATTATGTATAATCTTACGAAAATACCTCTACAGGGATGTTAAATAGGTAAAATCGAACCGAAATTTTGGTACGCTAACATTTCATACTGTTTACCGAACTAAATATACGATTTGGCTCAATATATAACATAATTACATATATTTTATGTTAAAATATCTCAAAGAAGGTGGGTGGCTGTAATTACCCAAACAATAAGAGGTTTTGTAATTTGACCATACATCAGGGTGTTGGCCGTAATTTACCCGCAAAATTAAATAAAATACTCCTCTTGTATGTTTTTTAAAGCTGCACAATAGCATCTCAATTACTAAACCCCAACGTGGTTCACTTTCTAAAGATGGAACCCACTTTTATCACATTCCAAATAAAAAGTGGATCTAATGATACATGTTAATTATTCTTACAAATTGGTTCACATATATTAAAATATTTGTTGAGGAAATTTTTTTTTGGGATGAGATTAATTTAGATCGGATTAAGTCCCTACTGACTCAGTAGTAAGATATTTGGATTGGATTAGCTTTTGTTTTAATTGATGAGTATAGGTACAATCAAGGAATAGTAGACTCGTCCCGTAATGGAAGGCCTAGCGCTTGGAGCAAGTGAGCTTCTGTCAGTTGATTCAGGTTTGAAATCTCTTGCCAATGGTCGTTAGGTCGAGCTTGTCACACATGATTAGCCTAGTGTAATTTACATATCTTGTATGATTTGCAAGCTATTCTACGAGAGTGTAACTTTATCTAATGCTCATGTCATCTATTAAATTTTCACCATCAAATCTTTTATAACTCCAATCACATATTTCTTAGATGATCCAAGTTTTACCTTCATTTGTAGGTGATAAGTCAGGATTCATCATTACTATTACTTTTTGAAATTGGGATCGATTCTGAGGGTAAGCGATCAAAGCAGTCACCTAGAGCCCCAATTTTTAAAAAAATTAGTTCCCCTAATTTTTTAAATATGTTTTTATAAAAATATTTCTGATTTTCTTTTTTTTTTACCATAACATTGTTTATCTCAAAAAAATTTACCACATCAAATCAAATATTAAGGGTAATTTCCGAAAATCTTATTTACTACTTTCTATACATGAAAAATTGCATCGGTTTGTTTGTAATATTTGAAGTGTGAAATATTTTATTGAACTTTGAGCAAATTTTGAACCCGTTTGAACTATTATTTTAAACGGCTAATAAACTTTTATATTTGATAAACTATTTTTAAGAGATATAATTATAATGCTGGAAAATAATTATAAAATATTGATTACCACAGCATACTTATTACAAATATCCGAATAAATACCGAAATATCAGTTATTATTATATTTGGTAAGATATTGGTACGTACCATTATCTCACGGTACAATACTGGTACTGTATCTTCAAATAATATGGCGGCAGTACCGGATTGTACTACAATTATATATATATATATATATATATATATATACATATACTCTACACATTCACTCTTTCTTCTACGTGTCGTCGGCAGGGTTGTTCCTGAGAAATAGAAGACCCTAGGCGAGTTTTAAGAATTTGTAAAAATGGACCCCTGTTTTGTATTGTATAATATTCATTAATTCATTAATGAATACAGCTGGACAAGAAATTTTTAATTACCAGTTAAGATTTCTAGGGAAAATACGACTAAAATATTAATGAAGTTAAGGTAAACCGAAAGTTTACGGGATTTGGGGCAGAGGCCAGAAGTTTTTTTGAAAATATTCATAGAAATATCATTGAACAAGTAAGTATATGTAGTTTTTTTGAAATATAGTACATTTCAACTTGTCGAAACTCTTTGAAATTAAAGTTAGACAATGTAAAATATTAAAAAAAATGCAAAGATTGCTGAAAAACAAAGTTTAAAATTTTGAAATACATAAAAATTTGATATAAGAACTCAATAACTAATTAATTGTAATTGATCTAAGACATTTCATTCACATCAAATGCAATAAATAATAAGTGAAAATTTTCAACAAATACTTCAACTATGTAAAATAATATAGTTATGGTTATTCAAATTGTTTAACTATTTATGTATTTTAAATATTATTTAATAATATGACTAGTAGTATATATAAAGAGTATAAAATATTATTGGGGGCCCTATTTTTTTCTAAAAATCGGGGAACTGAGGCGACTGCCTCTTTCGCCTATAGTCAGAACCGGCCATGCGCGTCGCTAACTCTAGGTAGAATTGTTTATGTCCACGTGCTTAATTATTTTTAAAACCCAACTAATCTCTTATTGTTAGAATACTCTTGGTCGAAAACCTACCCATGAGTGTACATATTGTAACAAATAGTAAAGTGAACTCAGAATAGTCGGATATCGAACCCACGAGAAATATATAACTGGCTAATCCTAAGTACTAGCTATCCAGCCGAATTGAATTTGGATGGTTGATTATATATAACTAACTACATTAAATAAGTATGCCAATTAACTAAGAACATAATTTAGCCTGAACCGTTCATCACCTACAATGAGCCTAAGATGTATCCCTCTCGTGCACGTTCCTGATCTCCCAATTAACCCTTCTATTAC